CTCTCTCTCTCTCTGTTTCTCTCTGTTTGCATATGTATAGACAGATATATGTACATACATATGAAATATAGGAAAGCATGGGATCCAACCAGAGATTTCGTCTTGTCAAGGGAGGATGCGAAATACATGCGCGTGTATACAAGTATATGTGTATATAAGCACATAACCGATTACAGTAGTAGTTGCATGCTACTCTGTTCTGCTGCACTGTATCGTGCTATGGCTGTGCTATGCTGTGCCATTTGGTTGCGCTATGGGATGTTAGTTGTCATGATCGGCCTCTGGGCTCTCCGAGGCTTGGAACGCTGGAGCCTGGGAACCTGTTGGTCAGGGCCAAGGGTACTTCAGCAATGGATTTTCCGAAATCCGTACACATTAAATTCATTAAATCTGTATGGAGTTATACCATTAGTCTAGGCTTTCGATGATTTTGATGTATGGCATGGCAGTGTAGTGCTAACGTCTGCGGGCACTTGTGTACGTTTGCATGTATGTCACCGTACATGTCGGTGCCGCGGTGCAGTAAGCCTCCAAATCAACCTTCATGATTTGGGTCCCTCCCCCATTTTGGCCACCAAGTCCGAGAGCTCCGCCTGTAGACGTCCAAAGACTGGATTTTGACCCGCGGCGAAAACTTGTGGTGTGTTGTTGGGGTCTTTAGATTGACGATCCGATGTTTTTTCCGTTGTTGAGTTTATACTTGCGTCTCAGGATCTCCTGAATTTGTCATGATTGTCTGAAGCTCCTAAATGGCTCCTTGCTCTGAAGCCTTCACTCTTCCAGCCTTTCCTACTTGGTTGATCGATCTCGGACAGTTCGTGGCGGTTTCCCCACCAACTCGCCTCTTTTTCCGAGAACAGCATGGCCAGGGCTCCATGAGTGCACAGGCATCCCTTCTAGCGAAAGCGACAAAGACAGACTCGGAAGGAGCGGCTGTATTTTGCTCTGGACATGGGCGACAACTCCTCGCTTCTGTCCAAAGCCATCACAGGCGCAGAAACCAACAGGCTTCATCGCGCCAAAGTGCTTGGTTGGCTGTTGTCATCGTAAGACGACAGTGGACATAAGGGGGTTTGAGACGGAGAGGGTTGTTGCTAGGACTTCCATGAGCTTGCAGCTGACACGCAGGCTCCTTTATGGTCGCAGTCTTCCTGTCAATGATTTGTTGGATCGTGGGAACTACCAAGGCCCGGCTGCAGGGTTTACTGACATTTTTGGCAAGTTCAACACACTCGCAGAGAGTCAAGTTCAATCTCCGAGAAGTCTGTGCTGTTTCGGAGGTCTTCCGGGTTCTCCCCTGTGTGGGTGAGGAGGTGAACAGCTGCACTCCGCGGGAGCCCGCGTCGGCCGTCTGATTTGGAAAGCCCTTCCGGGTTTTAGGATTAAGGTTTTGGAGCTTTTAGGATTTGGGGTATTTGTTTCGGGTTTAAAGCCCCCTAAACCCTAAACCCTATAGGGGCAGTAACTAATATGGGTATCGGGTAAGGGTTTTAGGGATTTGCTTTTGGGCCGAACCCCAAGGCTTCCAGAGCGAGACCCGGCCCGATAGCACAACGCAGGTTCCTCTAAAGGAATCTATAAGGGGGTTAACTATAGGGTTTCCATAAGGGGACTATAATTCGAAATCTATAGGGGGGTTAACTATAGGGTTTCTATAAGGGGACTATAATTCTAAACCGACTCTGGAGCTAGAACCCTGGGGAGCTTCGATGCTTGTAACCTCAGGTGGATGGAGACCGTGGAGATGGTTTGCGCCCGGAGCTGAGGGACTCTGAGGTTCCGCAGGATCAGTCCTTTTGGGCATATAGGTTCCGGGACAGCTTCATCCATTCTGCGGTGAGGAGCTGTCTCCATAAAGCATGGATAGGTGGAATCATTGAAGCCCTGGTCTTTCTCCTTGTCTCGTAGTCTGTCTCTTTGTCAAAACTTTGTCAAAGGATGCAAGGTCTTGTCAGTCGCCTATAGCTCACGTAGGTCTTGGCAGTTGCTGGTATCCGCATCCATCTAGCTGACGCCGTGTTGCCAGATCACGCAGCTGTTTCAGTCGGGGGCGTCAATTGCCCAAGTCCGCTTATCCCAGACGTACCGCAGGCACCTGAAGTTATCTAAAGTTCAAAGGCCCACAGGCCAGGGAGAGGGATGCTTGGCCTCTTCGAATGGAGACATTCCACGCTTCACCTTCAGGTCTTCGGAGCCATTCTATGCTAGCTTTGCTCTTGCAGTGTCCGTGAAAAGTAGCCCTCCATCCTGCGAGGTGTGGGTGTTCACGGCCGAGATTCTCCTCAGATTGATTTGTGTCGCGCAGGCAGGTTCAAAAGCAACGTGCACCAGTACGTGTGGATGTCGGCAAGCTGCCATACCCTGATCCCGGGAGTCTGGACTGTTTTGGCCTGCAGCAAGTCCGCTCCAGTGAATGAAATCACGTGGTCGGAGAATGCATCGAACTATAAGGGACAAGGCCGAAAGCTTCCACAGAAGTGATGCGGAGCTTGTATCCACAGCGCAGACAGAACCTTGAGCCTTGAAGACTCTCGGGCTTCAGCGCAGATGTTGTAGCAGTGGCAGTGGGAAACGTCGACCCCGGCAGACCCGCAGCGAGCTCCTAAACCAGCGGTACCTCATCGATGTGATTACCGAGCAAATCGAGCGCGATGCTCGGAGTGTCGGGTTAGGTTCATAGGGTTTGCGGTTTGGAACCTGACATGTAGCCTTGATGGCCATGCTTGTCCATGCTCAGTTGCACTCCCAAATCTGATCACAAAATACCTCCTGCTGTATTCTGACTGCGTTCATCACATGTAATGTAAACATCACAATGCAGTACGTCCGCCAAAGCATGGCTTCTCCGCCCATTCATTAAACCGTCCCCGCCCGAAGCAGCAAACAACATAAGTATTTGGTCCGCCTCCAACACCCCAAAGCCTGTTCCATCGGTATTGGCGAAGATATGAGGCTACATTCTCACCCATTCAACACTACATCGTTACATGTATTGTGCTATGAAATGATTCCTTTCCGTGTACTGGTTTAACATGTGCATTTGTAATGTGTACTTGCATGTGTATGTGTGTATATATATATTTACATATACATAGTGTTTTATTCCTATCTGTTCATATTTACAGGAATATAAACTATTCTAGACATGCGCATATATGTGCATGTATGCATTTGTGTACAGGTATATATGTGACATATGCATGCATGCATGCATGCATGCATGCATGCATGTGTGCATGTGCGTATGTGTATGTATGTATGTATGTATGTATGTATGTATGTATGTATGTGTATGTATACGTATACGTCTACGTCTACGCATATGTATATGTATATGTATATATGTATATATGTATATATGTATATATGTATATATGTATATGTATATGTATGTAATTAGAAATTATGTGGATCTGTAAACTAAGTTTGTATGTGCATACATATACATATATATATATATATATGCGCGCATATCCAGACTTATGTATACACCTATCTTAATCAACAATGTGTTGTATGAAGGAGTAAGCAGCAGTGCAATGCATCAAATGTCGGAGCACCAGGAAGTATACATTCGCATTTGCATGGGGCTCACCTTTGTTTTGACCCTAATCTTGTTTACAAGCCCTTCCCTTTCTTGACCCTCTGTCTGTTTGTCTGAGCCCCTGCTTGCTACGGCCCCCAGCGACACCCCCCAAACCCTGTTTGTTGGCCCCAATCCAGGCTTTTTCTTGACCTCGAACATGTCTTGTCCACCCCGCACCCTGTTTGTTTGGCCTCTCACCTTCGAAACTGACCTCATGGCACTCGGCCCGGGAGTCCTGGGGCATGTCGATCCCAAAATCCACATCCGGGACGTTCGCAGCCTTGCGTTTGTCTTGGCGAGTTTAGGTTTCGCAGGAAAACAATGATTTCCATATTAATTTCGAAAAGTGCTAAGTTTTTGCAAATGGTTTTAAGGCACTTCTGCACCACTTGAGCTGCATGCAGTTGGAGATTCCCCGAGCCGTTGCGCACTGCCTCACCGGATTTCCGGCAGATCCAACAGACTTCGCGTACATACATACATACATACATACATACATACATACATACATACATACAGGGAGCTGGCTTTTTCATACAATTCTGGAGTTGTCATTGTGCCATGGATGGGGAATAAGGGCCAGATCTATCAGAGACGAGCGCTCGATTGATCGGAGAGATGCACCTGAACTATCAAGAACCTCTGCGGGAATCATCATTCACATGTGCAGGTTGGGGCCTAGGTTGCAGGGGTTATTCTTCAGGGTTTAGGTTTTAGGTTTTTAGGCTTTAGGATTTTGCGAATGCGTGCGCCTGTCTGAAAAATCTTTTCCATGCGCCTGAAAAGCTCCCCCTTGTGCGTGATAATCCCGAGCTTTTTTCCGATATGTAAATCTGGCGCAAGTGCTTGATAAGTGCGTTCCATGTGTTGAACCATGGTGCCTGCAACAACAACATCATCTATACATATATATATACCTACGTACGTACGTACGTACGTACATACCTGCATACATTCACATGTACATGCATACATGCATACAAACAGAGTACATGCGCACACGCGCAAATTTGACAAACATAGACCTACAGACCTACGGGCATATATATATATATAGACACATACGTACATTCATACACACACATACAACCGTATGACAAAGGACAGACGCAAGACATAACACCACAGTTTGATACACCAAAGCATGTAGCTGTGTACGTGAGATTTTGGACCGGTCTAGATGGAAGAAGTAACAATGGCATGTCATGTATACACATATGTAGCAACGTACAGCTATGTAAAGCCGAGAAGCGCGATGGCAAGATCACACAGGTGCGACCGTTCAGTGTGATTGTAGTTCACACTGAAGCTGTCAGGCCGTAGGCCGTTCCAAGAATTAGGACGACAGACTATGCAGACGGATGCTTGCCTCTTGACTATATCACTATAACGGAATAATCCGGGAACAGAGACGCAGTTCCGAGACGATGCAGTCATCAAGGCTTGCTAGGGATCACGTACGGGGCACTGGATATAAGTCCAAAGCCAAGCGTTGAGGTGGAATGCTCCACGGTCCGGCGCGCGTCGCTTCCTAGCGTTCCTCTTTTCCATCCAGGCGGCCGCTGCGTGCAGGGTTGAAGTAGCAATAATGCAGCACGACATACCAGTTGTCGTCGTCACCATTCTCGTCACCATAGGCAGCATCATCTCCGTCAGCAGCAACATGATTTTCATCGTCCGTCCGTCCGTCCCTCCGTCCGTCCGTCCATCCATCCATCCATCCATCCTCACCACCACCATCATCATTGTCATCCTCAGCATCATCACGGTTATACTCGTATTATGTTCAACACGGACAGACATCACGATCACCATTGTAGCACTGTGTTGTGCCAAGCTGTACATCTTTGTAGCACAACATGTCTGCCATTTCCCAAGTGATTGGTGCTTTCATGGAGTGTCAGCAGAGCTGCGGTCCAAGTGGTCAGCTTCCCTCCGGCACACCGGACGTAGCAACACTAGTAGTTGCTTTGTTACAGTTTGCAGCTGCAGCGAAGCGGATTTCTGTATTGAGGTCATCATAGTACGACAGGATCATGCCGCTGAGAAAAGCTTCTGATCATACAGCAAGACCATGGCGCGCGGCCTCAACAGCGCAGCCTCGACCCGCCGACTGCTATGGAGATGGATGTGTGTGTTGGGATGCTGCCTTGTCAATCCTTCGCAGGCCTTCTACGCGCTTCACGACGCTTTTTCCCCTCTTGGCTGCCACCGTTTCGTCAATAACAGAGGACCTCCACGAGCGCGACGTCACCAACATCGGCTGGTTACGCCGGCTATGACTATGCCTGAGGACAGGGCAGAGGGTGCTGACCCGATTGCATCTATCGAGTGCCTCGATGCTCTTGTACCACGTGCCGAGATTGCGAAACTCAGTCGACAAAGGTCTGACATGCAAGGGGCGCTTCAGCTCTTATTTCACGGTAGTATCTTTACAATTGTCGCTTGCTGCCGGCTGCCTTTGTATTCACCTGTCATGGGAATGGCGGTCGTGGCAGCATTTTTCTTCCATGGCCTCCATGAAACGGTGCACCAGACGGCATTCCGTTCTCGTTGGATCAACGTGCTGGTTGCGCATGTGTTGGGATTCTTATGCATGCGGCCGGCCCGTCATTATTGGTACTACCACTTGGATCACCATCGATACACGGGCAATCCACGACGCGATTCCGAGTTGCAGCCAGGCTCTTTCCTGGATTTGGCCATTGATCGTCCGGCACAGTACCTGCTTTACCTCTCAGGTATACCCTTTTGGTTGGATGCCGCCTTCACCCTCGTGAGCCATGCCATCGGCCGCTGCCACGAAGCGTACCTGAGGAATCAGAGAGCCTGCGATAAAGTGACAGGCGAAGCACGGGCTTACCTCCTGGTTTACGGTCTCCTGGCCCTTTCTTGCGCCATGAGTCCAGGGATGGCTCGGGCGCTTTGGTACTTCTGGGTTTGCCCGGCTCTTTTTGCACAGCCCATCTTGAGGTTCTACTTGCTCGCTGAGCATCGTGGACGCAAACTTTCAACTACGGTCTACGAGAACACTCGTACCACCTACACGAACTGGTTCTTTCGACGCCTGGCATGGTGCATGCCCTATCACATGGAGCATCATGCATGGCCTTCGATCCCCTTCTACAAACTCAGGGAGGCCAATCACTTGCTGCTTCAAAGTGCTCAGAAAGCCGGTTCCGGGTCCGGGGATGATCTGCTGGAGCGGGGGGAGATCCATCCCGAGCTCAAAGGCAGCTCGCGACTCGGGTACTTGGGCTTTAACCGCCGCTACTGGATGCATCTGCGAAGCAAAGCCCAAACTGAGAAGACAGGTATGTACATGACTGTATGTATGTGTGTATATATATATATATATATGTATGGCGAGGCTTGCTCGTCTATTGTGTATTTAATCGTGTTGTTCATCTGCGTATAGCTAGCAGTTGTATGTATAGATTTGTATATGTACACTTATCATTCCATGTACATATGTACATGCTAGACATACTCTCTCTCTCTCTCCATATATATATATATATACACATATTTCATACACACCTTATAACTACATATGTACATGTATATGTATATGTATATCTACATGTATATGTATGTGTATCCATACAGATTTGTCGACTAAAAATACACACACACACACACACACCATGATCAACATGGACGCACACATGCAGTGGCACTCACGCCTGCAGGCTATTTGTGACGTTCTCTCCGTCATACCTTTCTGGGCGGGACCCTCGTGGTTGAAGACGTCTGCCCACCATTCCGACACGTTCTCGGGGCACATTCTGCAAAGCACTTTCCAGACAGCTCGGGGCCGTGCTTACAAGCAGCAGCACAGCTGCAGGAGAAACACTACCACCACTGCGGCCACCAGCGCCGCTACGCCCAATAGCAAGACCCGCCACCGACACCGCCAACACCACCACCACCACCACCACCACCAGCACCAACAACAACAGAGGCCACAGCAGCAACGACATCAACAAGACATACCTTGAAGACGGCCAGCTTCCACCTTCTAAGCAAGAGTGCGCACATTTGCCCCTCGCCCAGGTCGAGCTCGTCCTTCAGCCAACTCAGGGTACTTCGGCCTATTCCCCAGCTGGTCTTGACACAGGTGGTGAAGGGCTCCAGATCAGTCCGGCAGGTGATGATTTAGATGACGGCGTTCGGTAGTTTCGTGCCAGTTAGACACAGGTCCGAGCGCGCGCAGAGTTGGCATGGACTGCTCGGCGCAGCGTTATGTGCCTTTCTTTTGCAGGTTTGGTTACCGAAGTATAGCTGACCAACACAAGCTTAAACCTGGGGCACAGAGCCGAGCTCGACGCTTCAAAATTCACTTCCACTGTGCTTGCAGCAAAGTTGTTGTGGCTCAGAGACCAACACTACGGTTGCCCGAGCCTCTTCTTGCCGGCACCGCAGCTATGGGCAAGTGCTGCAACGATCTTGGCTCCAGCCCGACCCTGCAGCTCTTCATCATCATCTCCTTGGCGGCTCGGGCTTCTCCGTTAAGATTTTCTGGTGTAGCTCACATCTTACACAGGTTGGAATCAGTTTGCTGTGGCTGTTCGTTGCGAAAGAGAGGTGTTCTATGTCTTCGTCGCCCTCGTCAACATCGTGATCGATTTTCTTCAGGCAGAATATGAGATTCCGTACGACATCTTGAACCCGAGTATTACGATCATCATGCCCCCTGGCAGTTTGCAGATGTGGCTATTTTGCTAGGAGAACGGCTCAACCGGCTAGTCACTACGACGAACCAAATCCCTCGTTGTTTGCTCAATTCCACCGCGAGGCTAGGCATCTTCGTCGTATTTTGGCTTACATGCTGCTCCCGATGCTGTGCGCCCTGCTTCTGTGGACCCGAGATGCCTGATGTTCCTGCCGGCTGCATGTGCCAACAGTGTGGAGGCACAGCGGTTTCATTGAAGTGATGTGCAGGAGCAGTAGCTCCATACAGTTGCCCGTCAAGCAAAAGCACAGACAGTAGGCACTTGCACTCACAGGACGACATGGGTATATTCGGCCGTGAGGACGGACAAACACGAAGCAAAGACCACAGCCAACAAACTTGCGTGATGCGCAAAACACAAGCGCAACCAACCAGGCAAGCACACGTGTAAGCCCTAACTGAGAAAAGCGAAGAAGCGAACAAGCAAGTCCCGCAGCCAGATAGCAATAACTGACAAAAGGGTGGCGGCACCATGAACGCCACGGCGGGTTTTGAGGCCTGTTTGCGTCAGATGAGCTTGTATAGCTACTTACATTATCTTGCACTGCAAAGGGCTTTTGCCCTGCACGGGCTCTTTCTTGTTCGAACGAGTTGTACGCAGTTGGCAACAGAAGCTCCAACTAAAGCATCAAAGCAAGCACAGACATCTTGCCAGGTTTAGACACAGACCCCAACAAAATCACAAGATGGGCGGCAACATCAGGACGTACCAGAGCAAAGGAGCGAGCTTGATATCAGCAGCACGAGGGATCGTCCTCATTTCTCCCCTTCATTCAAAAAATTGTCGTCGTCGTCATCATCATCATCATCGCCATCAACATCTTCACCAGTTTGCTTCTCTATCCTTCCCCGTTGTCATCGCAGCCATCGCCCGCGATACTACGGCTACTACGACGACGACGACGACGACGACGACGACTACTGCTGCTGCTGCTGGTGGTGGTGCTGCTGCTGCTACTGCTACTACTGCTACTACTACTACTACTACTACCACCACCACCACCACCACCACCACCACCACGACTACTACGACTACTAGTAGTAGTAGTAGTAGTAGTAGTACTACTACTACTACTACTACTACTACTACTACTTATTACTACTTTTACTAGCGGCAATAGGAACACTAGTAGTTGGTAGTTGTTATGGCCATCAGCAGACCC